CGTCTGCCTCATTATATCCATTATTTCTTCCCGGTGCCTCCCCTTTGAAGAAAACCCTACGTTTCATATATTCTTTCCCTTTTTATGACGGCGGAGCATTATGTGACAGTGTAATACGAAACTGGCTATTACGTACATATACGTCTCCTTAACCGTATATATTACTGTATATGCGTCGCGTCGTATGTAACTATGTTCCACTGGAACCGTTATCAGGAAACTCCGGAAGATTTTCACGCAAGGTACACCCGTCTAACAATTGCAGAATATATTATAAGAGAGGAATGTAAGTTATATCCAGAAACTCTATTTCACAAAGAGAACAGATTTGACGTTGTCAAATATTAAATACCGTCTTTCAAAGATTTTATATAACAACAACGGTGACGATTAACAATTGATTGATTCAAAAAGCAGAAAATCTAAATGCCTTCTGCGCTAATCTACAAGTATAATAATTAAGATAAAAAGAAATAGGCAATATCGAAATGATAAATTATTCATCGACGCTGTCTAGACACCATATACTTTACGCCACACACGATACGCAATTTTGCCACGCAATCTAGATTCAACACAGCGAACAATCGGGAATGAAAGCGCGAACAAAAAGACGCGAAACTTATTGCAAATGCACGAACAGCTCTGCACATGTCGCGAATCTCGCACGCGGTTTCCGGTCTCCAGAGCATCACCATGAAGAATCCAGGCGAGCTCAGTACACCGGCAGACATTCGACCGCCTCTACTTCCCCATCGAGGGTGGGTGTTCCGCGAAAGGATACGATAGAGAAAGGAGGGGAGGGCCAACGGAGGGACGAAGGGGTCGATGGAAGGAAAGAGAAGGCGGCGAAGGAAGGAAGGAAGAAGGAGCAAAAGGAGCGCAGAAAGTGGAGAAACCAGAGGCATCATCCGACCCTCGACTCCCCAGGCGCACCCCTTGCCACCCCTTTTCTCTTACCCCTTGCACACTCTTCCTCGCGCTACTCCACTAGACCACTCAAGGCACTCTTCGTACCTCCCGCCATCCTCCGCCCTTCACCTTTCTCTCTTCTCTCTTTACCTCTCTCGTTCCTTCAACCTTGTTTCTCGCACTTCGTCACTCTTTACATCACGCCATGCTTCGACTTCATGCGTACCGCCAAATAAGGTTACTTAGTTAGCTAGCAGCAAATGTGCACACAGTGGCAAAATTATTGTTAATCTTTCATCAAAACTAATTCGTAATTTTAAGTATTTTACAAATACTCGGAAAATGTATTTTAGCCGTAACTATTCGGAAAAATTCCTACGCAGAAAGAGAGAGAGAGATTTATTTTCTAGAGATTTTTACATTTAGGCAGAATTATTCTCGAAGATAACCCCATCCGACGGTATGCGTGCTCAGCGATTCAATCCCTTTCATTAAGAACGTTAATGACGGTTACTGGCTGGCCAACGACCGCAGTTGCGCAAGATCTCGCAGAGAGGTGGGTGAATTTAAGCGTAATTAAATACGCGCGTCAGCCTTGATATTATTAAAGTTACAATGCAGAAGTGTATTTAATTAACTTCCGATATTGGCGCCGGGGCGATCGCATGCGCGCCTACCTACGGACGGACGGATCAATTTACGTCGAAATTATTGTACACCGTTGTTGCCTGCTGTATTCATAATTCAATGGTACATCGGGTTAATATTAAATATCGAATTAGTATGTTCAATCAACCGCGAATGCAGAGCGCTTTTGTCGGGAAATTTATAGAAATTGCCACTATTTCTGAATTTTAATAAAGGTCGCTGCGACGAGTGGAATTTTATTCATTCGCATTTGCTAACACGGCCAATTTATCTGAAATTTATTTACACATCACTGCACAGTGACTAAATATCAAATGTATAAGTGCATCGTATTACCGTCAACCAATTTATTGAACAACGAGCCCATTTATTAAACAATGACGTATCCTTTTAAAAATTATATAAATTTCCGCGCAAACTCCGCATTGACGTTATTAGGAATTCTTAACGTAACGAAATAATAATAGTCCAATTGAAATGATGCTAATTTTGCACATAACCCGGGCTTTAATTTGACCGGTCATTATTACTTTTTAATGTTCATAATAATGACTCGACATATGCATTTAAAGACATATAGAATATTCTGCATGTTTTAATATAAAAATTAACATAGTGAATTTAACTGTAAATATACGCATACATACAACTCTGTTTTATTAAAAAATTATATATAAAATATGAAAATTGTATAAAGGAAGAAAAATATTCTGCATGCGTAATTCGATGGAAATTAACTTTACAAATTACTTTTTTAAGTTTAAATTAAAAATATTATTAAACTAATGATAACAAATTTTATTTACAGCAAATGCATTCTGTCGTTACGTGAGTTTGATAATGTATTAGATATACATCTTCGTATCTTCTCGGGCGCAAATAAAACGCCCGAAATTGAAACAATTCCCAAACTCTTTACGCACGATGACGGGAACAAAATTATACTCATTTGTCGCGCCCTTTTACTACGGAATCACGTGCCGTGAGACCATAATACGAACAACGATAGTAACTGTTTCCACGAATTTGTAAACACGCTTTCGATTTTAATCGATGTCTGGCCAATAAAGATATGGGAAAGAATGAAATAAAGGGTCCTCCGCTCATATTGCTCACGCACATCCTGCTTTTAGGAATCTAACAATCAAGGACTTATATATATTGCACCTAAAAATAATTACACCGACCCTAAATTAACACGGCAATTATTTCACTAACAATTGCATGTATATTCTTCATTGTTAAAGTAGAAAAATTTCAACCGATCATATTATTTTACTGATGAGAAATGACAAGTATACTTTCCGAAATATCATGTTTCCAATAACTCCAATGGAATATTCGGAACAAAAGTTCTTTTTTTTAATACAGAACAAAACTGATGTGAAAACTGCTCGTATTTCATATATCATCCACTTTTTCAAGGACTAAGGTAAAATTGCTATTTCGCATTCGCGTCGGAAATTCGACTAATTCGATGTGCGAACTCGCATCGCGGAATCGGCTGTACCGCGCGGAATAGTAATATCGGGGCGGTCTTAACCCCCGGTACAAGTAAGATCTAATGAAGCAATTCAACTGCAACCGCAGCCCACTTCAAAGTTTTGAGAAACACCGTATTGTACTGCCAGTATATTACAAACTGCAACGGCGGCCATACCGATGCCGCAGCCCGATTATATTTCGCGAACTATTATACTTCGAGCGATCGAACATGCGGTGTGTTGCAATACGGAGTGCCGACATCGCCGAAAACATAAACTCCCTTCGCATTCGAATCGCGGCAATCTGATGTTATATGCGATCACGTAATGCGATTGCCATACCTTTAAAAAAATTTTTGCAATACTTTTGTCTATATAAAAATCAGTAAAAAGTATCAATAACATTAGTGCATTTCGCCTTTGTCAGGGAAATTCAACATTTCCACAGTTTTAATAAACAAGATTAAAATGAAAAATCTGACAAATATTGTTTCAGAGAATATTGTTTTAGAGAAAAATACATCTATAAAATAAAAATTTAATTTTTACAACCATCGCTGAAAACAAGAATCTTTTGCATTCAAGTGCGATAACACACAGTTAAACAAGATTTTCGCAAAAAATTTTACAATATTTTTATTCATATACAAAATACCAGTAATATTAACGCACAATATTTTCTGTTGGAAGAATTCAATTTGTTTCAGCTTTATTGGATATGATTAAAAAACACACATAGAAGTATTTTAGAGAAAAATACGTCTATAAAATAAAAAGTGTCTAATATTTATAAACCATTCTGAAATATTAACCTTTTACGTTCAAATATACTATCTACCATAACCGATAACGTAACGTATCACGAATACCGAAATTTAGAAAATATTTTCTGATATTTTTACTCATGTAGAAAATACCAGTGCGATACAATAAATTGTTTTTTATTGGAAACAATTTAATATTTTCTCAGTTTTCGTGGATAAGATTAAAATGAACAAGTTTTATTAAAAAAAAAAAAAATCCAAGAAAATATAAATCCGATATAACAAAGATATTATATGTATATTATTATATTATATCAGATTTTTATTTTCTGAGATCTTTCTCTAAAACAAAACATTTCTACTTTAATTTTATATTGTGTATTTCATATAAATCCAATTTAAATTCGATTTAATCATCGTGCTGAAAACATGAGTCTTTCATTTTCAATTGTAACAATCTATAACGTGATAACATAGTATTGTCTGCTTTTACAAATTTTTTGATAACGTCATTCACACACGTGCGAAGTATAGAAAAATTATAAAAATTATTTCAATCGTATTCACTGGAACAATTAGATTATTCAATCATATGACTTTTGTTTTAATCTCTTTATCTCTTCTAAACTTTCGATATCTATATACTTGGACGCTACGTCGAAATGAAGTTTCTCCCGACTTTCTAAGTTCAATGCTGAACTTTCTTTTCATTACATCTCTCATAGTAAATCTATTTTTACATTTGTTTAATCGGCAAACGTAACGTTATTTTTAATACACGGGAGACTAAAGATCGATGAAAACTTCATTGAAAACTTCATATTTTCGCTGCGCATTTCACATTCAATTCGATTATCGGATTCCGATTTTTATTTGAATAACATTAAGGATTAAATCCATCTTCTTAATACAACCATTAAGGCGGCAAGACGATAGAATTTTAATGTCCCGGGGAAAGCGTCGCGTCGCGCATTAAATGATTATCGTGGCCAGAAAACAATCGAGTCCTGCGAGTTCCGAGATCCGAATACCGCGCCAATACAAAACTCCCCGTCGCTGTCAATGTAATCCGAAATTTACCGATGCTCTTTTCCGCGCCGCAACCACAGTGTATTGAGTAACAATTACCGGCCGCAAAAGCGGCCCGATCCGCATCAGTGCGGTTCGCGCGATCGGACCTTCCGCTACTCACCCCTCGTGTGCCTCGTTACATGCCTCGACTTCACTCGCCTCGCCGATTAGTCACGAGTACTCGCGTGGGACGAAGGGCCGAATGTGTGGCGTGCGCCGAATCGAAGGGGGTGCGTCTGCCGTCCGCGCCGGAGGTAGTCGGTAGTCGTGCCACAAAAATCCCCGATTCACTCACACACCTGGGACCCACCGACGGCTTTACTTTCGGCTAAACGGAAGCAATCGAGTTCAAGCATACGCGACGCGCTCGCGTGTCGTTGACTCGTGCGAATGAAGAGAGAGAGAGAGAAAAAGAAAGAGAGAGAAAGAAAGCGTGAATCCTTTACTCAATCGCGTAATAAATGTGCTCGCCGGCGACGGAGACCGCGCGAGGGTCGAAAAGAACGACGACGTTGGTACCGCGGCTCGCCGATGCCGACTGTCGACGGCGGCAGCGGCTGTCGGCGCGGCCAACCCTTCGTCGCGCGCGTGCGCGCCACCCTTAGACACACCGCCACCCTCCGCCGTTCTTCCTCGCGCTCTCCTTCGCCCCCTCGTCCGCCAATCACGACTGCTTTTACAATGCCTCGAAAAAGGTAGTGTCCGCAACAAAGGGCAGAGTGCCTTTTCCGGCGGTGTTTTTTTCCCAGAAAAGGATGCGCTCTTGGCAGTACCTGTCAAAGGCGGGGAATTTAAATGATAATGAGAATGAGATCCGCGAATCGCCGCTGTTTTGCGTCCGACTGGGCCGGATTTTGCGTTACGAACGACTCTCTTTTCATAACGGTGAAAGGGGAGAAGATTCTTGGGTTTAGATCTTCCAACTAAACTAAAGTATTAGTGTTATTGAGATGCATCGAAACGAGGTGGTGTCGCCAAGAGTCGAACCCGCGTGGCTAGAAATCCTTATAGAAACGGTAAACGTGTAGTCGAATACAGATGCGAAGGATAACTCAAATAAGTTGAATATCGAAAGTCTTTCCTTCCATCGTCGAGACATTTTTAAGAGGGACAATATACCCTCCCCAATACGCGCGCGTTTTCACGTTCCTCTTCGTACTGGCAATGACGTACCTCATCGACACGTGTCACCTCGACAAAAGACTTTAAGTGCAGATTTGCAAGAGTCGACCGTTTCGGCAAATAAATATATTTTAAATTCGGTAACGTGTCTAGTTGTTACAATCAAGAGTAAAATCTCGTTCAAATCTTTACCAAAATGTTTACGTTATTTTTGTGAAACGGCTCATTTCCCCCCCTAAAAAAAAGTTTTAATAGAAAATCAGACCCTTGACGCAATTCATTAATTATGCAGGTACGATAGGTCCACATACATCGGCATATTATTATCGACTATTCTCTAGGTTGACAATAGTAGCGAACCCGTAGATAATTAATGACATAGCTGGCATTAATCAATCATGTAAATGGCATTAATGTACAACAATCGCCTATAATATCAGTCCGTAAAGATTAAATAGACTGTTAATATGGCTTTAACGTATTCGCTCACGTTAATTGGCAACCATTAAATCACGTTAAGCAGCCTCACACATCTAACACGCACTTTCCGCGTCAGTTGAACATTTTGTCGGTCTCGCTGCACCTTTTTAACGAAACAGTCGTATTTGCCCGTTTCTCGGCGATACCGGGAGAAAGTACATCGACGAGAACGCGTCGATGACCCAAATCGGAATTTATTAGAATACGAGGTACAAAGGTTACGTGAAGAAAAATGAAGGTGCGGCGGAGGATCGTGTCTAGCCATAAGCAGCGATCTGAGATAGTGGGTGGACCGCAGCGTAAAATATATGCGGCGCATACACGCCGGGTGTATCCGAGAGCTCGTCTTCGTGGTCCGACCCGGTGGCACGGAACCGCACGTGTTTGTATGTACGTACGTGGCGAGCTATGACGGGGAGATAGTGAAATGTAGTGCGCCGCGAGTGCAGGCGCGGCCCGACGCGACGCGACGCGACGGCGGTATGGCACGTCGGGGCGTCGTCGGAATTATTCGCGTTCGAGATAACTCGAGTCAACGACATCCACGGGCGATAGTTCAGCGCGCGAAAATGCGGAGAATTGCGCCGATAACGCCCGCGTTATTCCCGCGTCGGATTTTATATCACGGACACCGAGGGGAAAAAAGCTTTCGCCCGACCGTGCTCTCTAAGTAGCGATGTTTTAAGTAATAACGGCAGCCGATGGTATAAGACCGTGTCGAAAGAATCGATAGCACCGTTAAAACGGAAACTATTACGCGCGATCAAGACCTACCTTTTGTAGCTTTTTTCAAGTGTCAGTCTCGCGTCAATAACTATTAATTAATTGTTTAATGAAAACCATATTTTCTAAACAATTCTACGCTAAGCGCGCGGGGGGATAGTATCAGTAGGATTATATCATGTGATAACAGAAAGAGGTATACTGGCGACGCACTCTCGATATTAGTTATGCTAATTGAGCCTACGTGCCGGGGAAGTGCAAGCGACTCGCATACATGCATTTGTAAGCCGTCGTTTAATTCCCCATACAGATCCCAGTGTTGCGATACGTCGCGTCCCACACCCGCCCGAATAAATTCAAACGTCCGGCAAAATGAGCTTTTTGTTGTTTCCTTTTCTTTTTCCTCCTTTTTTTCCTTCCTTTCTCTCTCTCTCTTTTTTTGTTTCATCTTTCATTTCTGCGGAACGGTAATGGCATGGATCAATACGATGACGGGCTGTTTCCGCTTAAGCGGATTTTCACGGCGTTATTTTCGCCGTACTCGCGAGCTGGTTAACTCGCTCGCTGCTGGTACGTCCACGGTTTGCGAGGGAAGAGATGGAGGAGGGGGGGGAAAGGGAAGAGAGAGCAAAATGCATGTGCTCAAAGCGCGTGGAAACAAGCCTGCAGACAGTCAGGTCTCGTCTCCGCCACCATTGCGCCACCACCCTCGCTCTAAAACCCACCCACGGTTTGCTCTTTTTCTCTCTCTACCGCGCTCCTTTGTCCCCCTTTGGTGCACGAGCTGCCGACGATGGCGAGAGATCGGAGCTCGTCGCACACGCCCATGTCCCACGTATACGTGCGTACACATATACCGTGCCATACCGTGTGCCATGTAGGAAATGGGAAAACGAAATGAACCGTGAATAATTATGTATTACTTTTAATGCCTTACGGTTTACAGAAACGTGCCCGCCGATACCAGGGAAATATTAACGTCAAAGGTACTTCCTTCATTTTCTACGGACGTATATACCGCCGCTGTACGTACACCGTACATCGCCGTCTCGGAGCTAGGGATCAAACGATGCACGAGAGATTCGACGTATAACGACTTCTTTTTTTACCCCTCCCCTCTCCACCTGTCTCTCTCTATCTCTCTCTATCTCTCTCTCTCTCGCTGAAACGCTTCCTGCGCTTCCGCGCACGTACACCGCGATATAACGTGGAATATCGAGATAAGAATTCATCCGATCATTATAATTTAGCATAAATTTATGTGCCGGAGGGATCGTGGGCTCTCGTCTCGATCGTCTGACGTATATAAAAAACGTGAGAATTTATCCCCGAGTAATATCTAACTAAAGCCAAGCGGTAGACACATCATTTTAATTAATAATGGAACCACAATTTTATTTTAGTTACGGTCTTCAAATTACGTGCCTAGTGTTCACCGGATACACTCATGATTTCTGGCTATAAGAAACTGCGCGGCTTAATATTGCATTTAAAACATTAAAAAATTTTTCATGATTGTTCGACATTTCAACCGCTCGCACACCGCGCTCTTACATCGCGAGTACGAATGTAATTGTATATTAACTGCACTCGCGCAATAAAAAGCTTTTCGAAACAATACGCACCTGAGAAACGTCAAGCGTTTCCAAGGTATGGGAACATATGTAAATAGCGTTGTAAAAGATGGTGAAATATCAAAACTTGCGGTACCGCCTGCAGGCGGATTTTATAATCACTCGCCGTAGTGGATCGGGGCAAGCTTTCCGCTGCCCCTCGTCGCCCTTTCACACCGTTGAATCTAATTATGAGAACGTCAGTTTCGCGAACTTTGTCCGGTTTTACATCTTTATACATTGTGCTACGATATTACGGCAGTTTCGCGTCAGCGTCGAAATCTTCCGGACGATATTAACTGCAAATTTGTTTGTTCGAACAATAATATCTTCAATAACAACGTCACAGATTAATAAAATAGAGACTGTGTCGTCTAAAATCTTTGTGTAATAAAGTATATAAGAAATTCGTAAGGTAATAGCATAAAAGAGAAATGAAAAGCGAAAGTTACATCGTAAGTCTGGATAGTTCAAAACTCGATAGTCTCGCTGTATATAGTTCGATCCAGCTTTAAAAGAAGTATTGATAGATTCTTTTTTTTTTAATCTCACACCGCTGTTTATGAAATAGTTTAAATGTAATCGTGAATAAAAATACACTTTATATGGTTAAGAGTTTTATAAGTAACAATGTTTTTCAATCATCTTTTTTTACTTTTTTTCTTAATAATACCGAATAATTTTATACTTCAAATAAGCCTTTATAGGAAATTCAACCTTATCGAAATTTATTTTTCGAACTGTTGATACTTTACTGGACCTTGTAATTACAGTATTTATAAAGACTTTACATGAAAAAGTAAACGTTAATTTCGGATATAGCGGTTACATTGTCTAAAAAAATATGGATCAATCGTTCGCGTTTCGAGAATTTTGTGTCGAGAAAATGCGTTAAACTAAAGAACATGTATTCAAGCCGCGCGGAAAGCAATTGATTTATCTACTTTTCCGTCGGCGTTTCCCGAGTCGAAGTTGGCACGAGGGAACCTTCAGCATCCCTCGCTTGTTCGCCCCTGTTCGACAAACTATCACCAAAGAAGTTTTAAAGCTGACCGAAAGCAGCCCATTGGCAGACAAATGACTCTCGACTTTTCCTCGCATAAAGCACATAATGTTTTGCATGAAAGTCTACTGATCGGAAAGATTTCGCAGCCATTTAAAGCAACAATCAGATATTTGCTCCATTCGTAAAATAATAGGCGCTAAGGAAGAGAGAGAGAGAGAGAGAGAGATCGGTAAATAATAGGAGATATGATGAGATACGTCTCATCATACATATTTAGTCTTGTAACGAAAGAGGTAAAGCACTGACTTTAAAGAAACGCAAATACATAATACAATTCATCGTGAAAATGAGCGAGAAGTAGGACGAGTAATTTACTTTAATAACTAATAGCAAGATTGCACCGAATTGCCATCATTCATTCCTCAATTCAATAATGATCTCAGCAAGTCCGTTGTTACGGGAGAAGAGCGCGCATTTTCTCAGTCAGAAAAATCCAATGCGAATAGTTTCACGAGCAAGAGACTTAACGACGAGCTATTTACGATGTTGCGGATCAACTCGCGGAGTCAAATCGGCGAACG